GTGTTTTGTCCTGAGAGCCAGTGCTGATGTTACATTTCCCCTCTGTGTGGAATACGGCCCTTCTCTCTGTTTATTAGTGATGGCTGATTAACTCGCCCAGTTGTAGTTCTGGCCTGACACTGGTCACATGGGTTTTCCAGCTTCTGGCTTGATTCCTTGTGGTTCTGCATCATCTCCCTCATCTGATGACTGAACGACCCATTTTAAGACAGAAGGGTCTACAGCAGCAGTTTCCTTTCCCATATATCTTGCAAGCAAGTGTGCTTTCAATGAAAACTTCGATTCCCCTGCATGCAAATTTGCCTCCCTGTGGTACACTTGAATTCCTCTCTAGAAGTTCTGATTTCCTATAAAAGAGATCTCTTTTTATAAGTGATAAGATAAGTGCTCAGTCATATGAAGAATATGACAAGTCTTGTGGGGTCTCTTTTTTAATCATAGTGTGGGTTGTTCAGCATGGCTATACATGAAGTCGTTTGTACTTACGGTTTCTTTTTTCAGTTATATTGACAGATAGAAGAAGCCTTGTCTCTCCTCTTCTCTTTCTTATCCACATTGTGGTTGCAACAAAGAAGCTAAAAGGATCTGTACAAACGTAGGTTGGTCCCTCATTTACTACGCCAGCCAGTAGACAGATGTATGTATATATGTATGAATACAGGGCATGAAGGGGAAGTGAGAGGTGTGAGTGTTGCTCAGAAAAGCCTGGGCAGCCCCTCGTTCCTCCTGGGGCCCAGAGCTGGTCAGAGCATGGTCAGAAGCTGGGCCCTGCAGCCAAGCCTAATGCAGGAGTTTGAGTGTAATCATTTGGTGATTCCACATAGAAGATGCCTGTTACCCAGTCATGGGAAACTGAGTGTTATGGTACAGCGAGTGCCGCCCTGTTGTCTGATGCCAGGGCAGCGAAAATGCTCAGCATCCAGATGACTTCAGTGGGAGAATGTCGCCTTGGTGTTACACCGCACTGCATCTAACCTCAATTATGGACTGATTTGACACAAGCCACTCATTTCACACTCCGAGCAGAGTGTCACACGGTGCAGATGCAGACTTATTATTTATTTTATTTTTTTTATAAATGAATGGTTTTCCTCATGATTGTTCTGCATTAGTTTGAATAATGCAGCTTATGGTAGTTCAGAAATCACCAAAACAAGATGCCGTTTCTTCCCCTTTTCCTTGAGGTTTTCACTGCAGGCTCGATAAGTCCCTGTAAGCATAAAGAGAAGATTTGAAAATAGAATAGGAGTATTTTTGTTATCCTTTATTTTACCAGGAAGTCCTGGCCAAGACAGCAGCAAAAAAGAAAAATAAGACAAAAGTTTTGTATACATACACAGAGATTATTAATATGAACACAAACTACAACACATACAAATTCTCAAACTCTCCAAAAATACATAGAATAAAATTAATTTACATGACACAATGACACTGTTCTTTAATCTCAGAGTTTAAGAGATTTTTAAACACATTCAGAGAAGGCAAGGAGTCTAGCATAGTCCAGGCGTTACAAATCAGCTTATTGTACTCTCCCAGATCTCTGCAAACATGGACTTTTGGTGATGGACACTGATGCCTTTAGCAATGAACACCGCTGACCTTCCCGGTCAGACACTACGATACACTGCAGCCCACAGGAAGCTGACCACCTATTGCTGCAGGCTGTCCTTCCTGGTACCCGGCTGCAGCCCCGGTGAGACAGTAGATAGCTCAGTGGATCTGTCACTAAGGCTTTCCACTGCCAATGTGCAGCCAGTACTGGATCAGAGAGCCTGACAGACCATAGTCCCCACATGCTGTATGTGCTTTAGGCAGACAGAGCACCTTGGAGCGAAAGCCAGTCATAAGTCCCCCCACCTCTGCATCTCTCCAGCTAACCACAACACTCCCACATGCGCCGTGCCCTGCCCGGAGACCTGCTGTTGTCATTTGTTTATAGTGCAGATCGCATCAGATGCAGCACATAAGCATGAAACATTCTTGCCGAAAATGGTTCACGTCTATGACGGATGGATACACGTGGGTAGCTATTAAACCAGTAAGAGCGTATTTCACAATAACATAGCCCCGGTTTAAATAAAGTGCTACTGTGACATGCAGTTTTATTTGTGATGAAGAAATGCACAAAGAAAAAAATACTACCTGTGCATGTTTTATGCTTCCAGGTGTTATGCTAGTCAAACTTAGTCAAGTCTTTATCTAGATCATGGTGTCTTTGGATCCGCATAGCCCAGCCTGTCGCATTTCACTGGGGGCTACCCTTTACGTGGCTGCTGAGGATCAAGCTCCTAACTTCGTATTTAGGCCATATAACATAAAAAGGCACACACTGAGATTTAGGTACGTCCCTTAGATGAGCATAACAAAGTACTATATCAGTGCAGTGTCTAAAAGTTTATGAATGTCTTTTTAAAGATGCATTTATGCTACATGCAGTTACACTAATCAGCCATAACATTAAAACCACTGACAGGTGATGTGAATAGCATTGATTATCTCATTACAATGGCACCTGTCAAGGGTGCCATTATGTAGGCAGGGGAACAGTCAGTTCTTGAAGCTGATGTGTTGGAAACAAGATAAATGGACAAGCGTAAAAATCTGAGCAACTTTGACAAGAGCCAAACTGTGATGGCTAGACGACTGAATCGGAGCTTCTTGTGTGGTGTTCCTGGTACGTTGTGCTCTTTACCTACCAAAAGTGGTCCTAGGAAGGCTGGGCAACAGGGTCAAGGGCCGCCCAAGCCTCATTTATGGGCATGGGGAGCTTAGCCTGGTCCACCTGGTCCGATCCCACAGGAGAGCTAATGTAGCACAAACTGCTGAAAAAGTTCATGCTGGCTAAAGGTGTCAGAACAGATAGTGCAGTGCAGCTTGCTGCGTATGCGGCTGCGTAGCTGCAGAGCAGTCAGAACGCCCATGCTGAACCATATCCACCACCGAAAGTACCTACAATGGGCACATGAGAATCTGTATTGGAGAATGGAGCAATGGAAGACTGTGGCCTGGTCTGAAAAGTCATGTTTAAACTTACATCATGTTGACGGCTGGGAGCATGTGCATCGTTTACCTGAGGAAGAGATGGCAGTAGGATGCATTGTGGGAAGAAGGCAAGCCGGCGATTGCAGTGAGATGCTTCTGCTGGGAAGCCTCGGATCCTGGCATTAATGTGGATGTTACTTTGACGTACCACCTACCTGAACGTTGTTGCAGACAAAGTTCACCCCTTTATGGTATTCCCTGATGGCAGTAGCTTCATTTAGCATGATAATGCACCTTGCTACAATGCAAAAAATTGTTCAGGAATGGTTTGAGGAACATAAAAAAGAGTTTAAGGCATGGACTTGGCCAGATCTCAGACCAATCGAGCATCTCCAGGATGGTCCGGACAAACAAGTCCAACCCATGAAGGCCCCACCTCAGAACTTACTGGACTAAAAGGATCTGCTGCTGATGTCTTGGTGCCAGATACCACTGGACATCTTCAGAGGTCTGGTGGAGTCCATGCCTCAGTGGATCAGAGCTATTTTGCTGGCAGGAGGGGGACCTACACAATATTAGGCAGGTGTTTTTTAATGATGTGGCTGATCTGTGTATAGTGGTAGCAGTACTCTGTTTCATCATTAAGCAGAGCCAAGACTGAAGAGTTATGGCTGACCTATATCCAAGCTCTGCTCGCACAGAATATTAGTTACAATCACTCTGATGATATATAATATAATATGTATTTTTCTAGCTTTTTTGTCATCAGAATCTTTAATGGAAAAAGTTTGTTGAACAGCATCTCTTGGAATGTGGTCACTCATACAGTAGAATTTCATCATTTATTTGTACACACATGTGCCACAAAGCCCCTGTCCTGTTTCGTGTGGTTTTATCTGCATTTAGGTGACTTTGCACTCATTGTGTCACCTGAGGACTCAGTGACCTCCTGGTTACCTCCTGACTGTGACATCCACTGTGATCAGAATAAGTTCAGCAAATACAGCTAGTGGAGCTCACTTCTGCTTCTCTACCATGTTTTATTAAAGAGCACCATTAAACTTTCACACCAGCCCCCCAGCCCCCACTTTGCCTCCTGTCTTAGCTGCCTCTTAAGCATCCTCACCCATCCCCTACAAGTAAGTCTCCCTTGACAGGTTCCATTTCATTCCTTCTCAACTGTACCATTTCCATCCTTAGATTCTGAGTCTTAGAAGTCTTTTCCTAATAATAAGATATAATATTGTGGAGCCAAATGGCTCATCTTTTCTATTGTGGCAAACGAGTTCTACACTGAATGTCTTGGCTGCTTATACCGTTATGAGTTGAATGAATGGATGAATGAACGAATGAACAAATGAATGAATGAATGAATGATCCATTTGTATAGCTCTTTTCAAGACATCCAAAGAGCTTTACAGAACCAATATGGAATCAGTTGGACCACCATTATGGAGCCTCACCACACAGTAGCTAAGGTGGTGAAGGGGCAGGGAAGGATTCACCAGTTAGATATAGGCGATGATTAGGAGGCCAGATTTCATAGGGCCATAGTGGGCAATTTTAGCCAGAATATTGGGGTATCACCTCGACTCTTTTGAAAGATGCCCAGAGGTTTTTTATGACCTCAGAGAGTCAGGACCTCATTTTTATGTCTCATCAATCATCCGAAGAACAGTGCCATGTTTACAGCACAGTGTCCCCATCACAGCACTGGGGCACTGGGATGCACACAGACCACAGGATGGTCTAACATGCTGGCCAGTGTCCCCGTCACTGCACTGGGGCACTGGGATGCACACAAACCACAGTATAGGCTAACATGCTGGCCAGTGTCCCCGTCACTGCACTGGGGCACTGGGATCCACACAGACCACAGGATAGGCTAACATGCTGGCCAGTGTCCCCGTCACTGCACTGGGGCACTGGGATCCACACAGAACTTAGGATGGGCTCACCTGCTGGCCACACCTCTTTTATATGACACCCATGTGAGCCTTGTTCTTTTGTTACAGGAGAATGTTCCCCTATCTGAGCTTCAACATTAGCTCTTTGGATCCATCTGCTCACTACAATGTGTACGTGGATGTGGTTCTGGCTGACCAGCACCACTGGAGATACCAGGGTGGGAAGTGGGTGCAGTGCGGAAAGGCTGAAGGAAACATGCCAGGTTTGCCTTTCATTCATATCTGACTTGTGTCATTCATCAGTTGTCATCAGCTGTTGGTGGGAAGGATTCAATGCCAAGTGTTATCTACCATGCCTATTGACTACCAGAGTTGGGTAATTCAGGTCCAGAGAGTAAAAGTCCAGACCAGGATTTTGTTTCAATCAACCAGTTGAGCATAAAGAGTCACAGTCACAGAGTACTCAACTGGTTGGTTGAAACAAAATCTGGACTTTTACTCTCTGGACCTGAATTACCCACCTCTGACGACTACTGACTCTTTTCATTAAACAAGATCAGTATGGAAATATTAGTATCTATTAGGTGAGCTGGTGTGGGGTCATAATGCATATCGGATATGATAAAGTTGAAGTGGGTTGAAAGAAAAATATATGTTGCCAACACAGTTTTGTGGAAGTTACCCACAAAAGTAAAGAGGTGGAAAGTTCAGGTCCAGAAATTATAAATCCAGATCAAGATTTTGTTTCAACCAGCCAGTTGAGTACTCTTTATGCTCAACTGGCTGGTTGAAACACTGAACTTTCCATCTCTGTTTGTAATGGGATTACTTTTGTGAGTAACTTCCCCAAAACTGTATGTTGCATACCAATGACCTAATTTGTATTAATTCATGCAATATATATTATACTACATACTGAGTGATTGGATGTTTATTGTAGATAATGCAAAAAGGGGGATTTTGACGGTAACAAAATTATTAATTTTAATTAATTTAATTATTAAGAGTGGGTTTAATAAGTCAGCTGAATGAGTCACCCATTCATCTCTAGAGTGACTAGAAACGTTCTGATGAGCAACAGTGAGTGTTAAGTCTAGATTTGTTGTTATCACTGGATGTGGTCAACACCCTGAGACAGGCAGTAGACTGGATTGGGGCAGACTGAGGTTGACTGTATCTGGCAGTGGTGCTGAGTGTCTGTGTCTAATTGTCCTCTGCAGGTAACAGGATGTATATGCATCCTGACTCACCCAACACTGGGGCTCACTGGATGAGGCAGGAAGTATCTTTTGGCAAACTGAAGCTCACCAACAACAAAGGAAGCTCCAACAATGTGGCACAGGTGGGTGAACACGAGCACGTTCATGGTTGGGTGTACATATGCCTGTGTTATCTCTATTCAGCCTTGTTCAGGTTCCCCGCTACTGTTGAGCAGACCCACAGTTGTGCAAAGCTGCTGCCTATTCACATCTGTGAACACAGCGACGTCCGCGTCACCCGCGACTGTTCCGTTTAGAAAATCAGTTGGACTAACACAGTTGTATCTCTGTCTCCCCAAAGATGATTGTGCTGCAGTCTCTACATAAATATCAACCCCGACTGCACATTGTGGAAGTAAAGGAGGACGGCTCTGATGATCCCTTCGTGACTTCCAAGACCCTGACCTTCGTCTTTCCTGAGACACAGTTCATAGCTGTCACCGCCTACCAGAATGCAGACGTGAGCTGCCTGCCATATTCACCATGTGTGGAATATGTTGTTACCTCCATAAGTGGAGCAAGTTCTTTCAGGTTACTTTTGAGTAATTACGTGACGTTACTAATTCTGTTTGCTCTTTCTTTGTCCTCTCTCCTTCTACTGCTATTTATTGTACAGATCACTCAGTTAAAAATAGACCACAACCCCTTTGCCAAAGGTTTCCGGGACAATTATGACGCGTAAGTAAGAAACTATTTAATTCAGCAATTAGGGAACAATAAGAATTTTATCCTGAAGGTACCTGAAGGCATTATTATGATTATATCCAACCTAAGAATATCCGCTCTCTAGAATGATGATCTGAACATGACATTTGAGGGCATTTCCCAAGTGTGTCCACCCGTGAAGTGTTGGGACTGTTTTTCTCATTACTGTGTTTTCCAATCCAGTCCTAAGGGACACACAGTTGGTCCATGTTTTTGCTCCCTCCAAGCTCCCTGCCAGACAGTCCCAAAAATGTGGGACTTCCAAAAATGTGGATCATGTGTGGGTCCCCGGGGCCCGGATTGGGAAACACTGCTTTAGTGAAACAAACTTTGACAAGCCACAGAGATTTCTGCCCTGATCTATAACAGCATCCATGAAGACCAATAAATTCCTTGGGCCAGGAATTGCCTTCTGATTGGTTAAACGTTGTCCAATCACGGAAGAATGTTTTGCATACCATCATACACAGTATCTTTTCAGTAATAAGTAAAATTATACAATCATACCACGTTAGTGACTGAGTTCTGTTCCAAAGACAAGGTTGTTGATTGAAATGGTCGCTAAGTGAAAATCACGCAGCCTAGGCGTGACTGCGACTGTGTTTGCGACTTTACTTCCGCCTTCCATACTTAACTTCTATTATTCATTAGTCTGAAAATGAATTGTTTATTACCATCGTATTTGCAAATGTTCACTAACCGAGGTAGTCACTATAGTGGTTAAGCTGTATGGGAATTATAGCCCACCTTACATGGTGTTCAGGAGAGGTCGGGATCATGTATATAATTTGGGGTTTTGGTGAGAAACTCCAATTTATTGGTCTTAACTTCTATTATTCATTAGTCTGAAAATGAATTGTTTATTACCATCGTATTTGCAAATGTTCACTAACCGAGGTAGTCGCTATAGTGGTTAAGCTGTATGGGAATTATAGCCCACCTTACATGGTGTTCAGGAGAGGTCGGGATCATGTATATAATTTGGGGTTTTGGTGAGAAACTCCAGTTATTGACCAGTGTGAACTCCCGCCACCCATACCCCCCCCCCCCCCCCGCAGGCTATATGCACCTCCCGACACGGAACGGCTAACCCCCTCCCCCTCGGAGAGCCAGCAGCTTCTCCCTGGCAGCTGTTACCACCAGCCCTACCTTCCCGACCAGTACATGGGTGCCCTGCCCCAGAGCCGCTTCTTTAACAGAGAGCGCATGACCATAGGCCAGCAGCCCAAGGACGCCAGTAACGGCCCCCATAGTCACTGGTATCTCCCCAGCCAGCAGGGGACGGGCTCCAGCCGGCTAGACTTCAACTCATACGAAGGAGACTACTCTGGTAGTGGCTTCTACAAACCCTTCTCCCTCCAGGGGCCAGCGCACTCTCATCTGGGGTACTATCCGGACCACCCCTTCACCTCTGGCAGCATCAGCACAGCTACTCCTGGGGTCTGGAATACAGGCCGACCCTCGCCACAGTACCTGAACCACTCCCTGCCCAGTAAGCCCACTCCAGGCCTCGGTTGGTATTGTCCCATGCCGTCGTCTTCCTCCGATCACCGGCTGCATACCCCGTCTCTCCTTGAGCCGCCGCTGCCCCCACCTTTGCTGCAGGACAAACCTAAGGAGCCGGGAGACGACGCCTGGCTGGAGCCCGCCTCTGTCAAGTCGGTGGACTCAGCCGACTCGGGCCTCTACGAGAGCATGGAGAGCAAGAAGAGGAGGGTGTCACCCTATGCCTCCAGCACTGAGAGCTCCCCCCCCAACCGCAACACTGAGTCCAACGAGAAGGACAACAGCAGCGATGCCGGCTACTATGGCTTCTACAACAACTGAAAAAAACAATCCACACCCCAGGCCAAAAAAAAAAACATCATTTGTTACCCACTTGCATACGCATCCATTCAACCCAAAAGTAGCTGTTCCTAGAAGGTTGTGTGAAGGTAAAGAGACTTGAGATGAGATGACTCTGGAAGGGTGCAAGGCTGGGGGGTTTCTGTAGTAAATCCTGGATTGGAGCAGACCTATGAAGGAACCGTACCTGCTTTGAGGGTATATCCTTATGTTGCTACCATGAAAGCAAGATCAAAGTCAGACCAGCAGTGCATTACACATAAGCTAGACTAGTCAAGATACCTCAGTCGGTCTGTTCATTCAGGTTCTCACACTGGATCGTTTCCCAAAAATAAATAACATAGAAGTACTTGTTGCAGTGAGATGCGCTCAATAGGTACCTTTAAGTATAATTGTTTGTAGGGAGAACGGCTTAAAATCGGGGCGGGGGTCTTTGAAAACATCCAGGCCTTTGTGATGCAAAGTATATGTTGCTGCCCTATGAACATGCAAATGAAGTGGTTTTTGAGTTCAGCACTGATGACCATTAGCAGACTGTTTTACCAGTTCTGTAGCCTAAGCATTGTTCCTCAGTTACCCAGGTCCATGCATGCAACTGGGACCATTGCCTGACCTTGTAGTGTTGTACAGGTTTGGGCCTAGGAGATAACTGATCCTAGAATGAGCATGTCCCTTATAAACTCATCCTGGATTTAGCTTCTAATACTGTGTTTATTTTCAGTGTCCAACAGCACCACATGGTGGTAAAACACAGAAATTGCAAAGCAAGAGAGGTACAGAACACAACGGTAGAAGATCATCTCTTAAGAGACCATTAGTAAAACACAAGTGTCATGATTTTGTCCAGTTTTTTTTTTGTCTTCTAGAATAAAATCCTACCATGCAGAGCCTCCACAGACATTAGTAAAATGGATTACAAAGTTTTGTATTTAGCTAATTATTAAATCTCTGTAAAATCCCTCCATATATATATATTCCATATTACTGTATCACACACAGCAAGTTATAGAAGCAAAATGTTAAAGGCAATAAAGCTCCTCAGTGTAATCTATGTGAAGGGTAAATGTTTTAGACACCTTGTTTAGAGTATCAGTGATCAAACTGAAGAGTCTCTTCCAGTGCAAACAGTGGCTCTACAAAATGAGACATGATCTAAACCTCCAAATATTTCACCTTCACAGGTTCTGATGTTCTCCCCACAGCAGAAGTAGGGAGAACTTTCCATTCCTACACTAGGGTTGTTATCCCCTGCTTCCGGAACAGTGGCCTGTACTACGAAGCGGGGTTACTGGCTTATCGGGGTAACTTGTCAGATTTAAGGTAGTCTGGGCAAAATGTAAGTGAACAAATATGAAGTCCATTTAAACTGTGGTACCTTAAATCCGACAAGTTACCCCGATAAGCCAGTAACCCCGCTTCATAGTACAGGCCACAGGTCTTAGTGCCCCTGCCGCAACTGCAATTATCAGATGTAATTGGATAGCATGTGGGCCGCAGATGCAAAGCTCTTGATCCCATCCTCTGTGTGTCCTCCAGTGAACTCTGCCTTTTATGAAAGGAACATGTGCTCCCTCTCACACTCACATACACAAGAGCTGCGGCTCTGGGGGGCCTCTGATGGCCATGCCGATACAGTCCAATGAGAAAGACTCAGAATTAAAGTGAAGCATGTTATATGGATCTTGACAGATTGTGCGAAAGTCACATTTACTGCAGACTGAGGAAGGATGAGATGTTCAGACACACTGGAAGTGGTATAGCAAAGACAGAGGTGATGGTCTTAGTATTATAGTGCAGGGATGGAACGTTCAGGTCCAGAAAGTACAAATCCAGAGCAAGGTTTTGTTTCTTTCCATCTCTGCTATAGTGTATGCTGCCTTTAAATTAATTCTTCTTCAAAATAAATATTCTGGTTTTATTGTAATGATTTTTTTTTATTTGAACTTCATACTTTCAGTCTAGCTAGTAAATAGCAACTTACCCCTTTCACTTGAAAAAAAATCCCAACATTCAAGTAGCTAACAATTAAGAAAGAGTGCAGCAACAATCCCCCAAATACATATTCCATTTGCTTAGGATACATTCAGAGATTGCGCAAAGATAGGATGCTGGGGCTAGTTCATGGTAAATGGAGAACAGTGTAGGACTGCCCACAGAAAGTCTGCGTTAGAAAGGGGAGTGTTGTCCAGTAAATTGTTCTTCAGTCTTAAAAGATAGGATTTAAAATGTTGGCAAGAAAATGTATGTTAAAATGAGCCAGTCATTTGCGGAGATGATGTTGTCAGTACAGTGACAGTACAGTGAGTTTTGCCAGCCAGATCATGAGCGGAGCACAGAGACATTAAACAAAGGGCATCTGTGCCTGCAGCTTAGATTTAGGCAGCTTAGCTCAAAGACAGTCTGTCACAGAAGGATGCTGGGCAGATTTGCTTAAGGAGACAACCTTGGTTCTCAAATAGAGACAATCGCAAAGAATGATGAGATGGTGTGCTGTACAAGACCCCAGGAATATTACATTTGCTTGTGCATCAGAACAATGACTCATTAATCTCGAACATAGATTCATGTAAAATAAATCTGTTGAAAAATTCTTTCATTTGTAGTCCAAATAGTAGAATCAATGTCTGTTTTCCCAGTGAATGCACTTGTTAATCGAATTGCCCCATATTGCAAAATTTGCCTTATCTCTCTAAAAGTTGTTCTGACATCCTGGAAACTTTGTAAATAGCATATTAGACTTGTTGTGTCAGGGTAAAGCCCTTCTGCCGCTGTGATCATTTCAGCATTATTTTCAAGTTTGTCCTTAAGGGAGGGAAACTGGAATTATAAACCTGGGACTTGCTCTGTGGATTTGTTGTGCTTTGTTGCCATCTAGTGTTATGAACAAGTGCCTTGGACAATTTTGCAAGTCATTGTTGATTACTGGAAATGGGTCTTAATAGTTGCATTTGGGATAACACAAGGTTCAGTTAGAAACTGACATAATGAATAAATAAATTACAAATCCTCTTCTAAAAACAAATTCTTTATGCACAAAAAAATGGGAAATACAAAAGCTGCAATAGGTGAGATTGCCATGGGCGGCCTTTAATGCAAAAAGCTAGAACGGTGAGTAATAGATAGCTTGTGATAACTGGCTTTTGAAGTCCTACTTCTCCCATTGTTACAACTTACTAATAGCTAAAACTATATCCGAATTTTCATGTGGAATTAAAGTTAAATCTGTCATTGATATGCCTTTGATGGCTAGGACATCAGTTCAAATCCCAGGGTTGACAGAGTGATCTCACAGATGGGCCCTTAACCCCCAGCTGCTTCAGGGATTGTCTGACCCTCTTTTTCCGTAAAATTGTACATTGCTTTGGATAATAGCTGCTAAATAAATTAAAAAATTTAAAATATATATATATACTTTTTGTGTTGGACTTTAAAAACGAAATTTTATATCAAAAATTGACATACACTGGCAAAATGTTCAAGAACTGTATTTGGCTAAAATGATGATGTATTGGGTGGCAGCCATGTAGTGTCGCGGCTCTAAGGTTTGGGGTTCAAATCTTTCCCTCACTGTGCCGGTTATGAGTTATACCCCTGGTAAGCACTCCTGAATTCCAAAGAAAGCTGACTCTATTGCCTGTACTATGTGTTCCTTGTGATGGACTGGCATCCCATCCAGGGTGTCCCCTGCCTTGTGCCTTGTCCTGTCTGGGATAGGCTCCAGACTCTCACCATGTGACCTGGTACTATTGGATGGTTGAATGGATGGTAAAATGAGAATTCATGTCGTATTGTCTCTGCTTAGGAAGACCCACAATGTTTTTTTTTTTTTGAAAGATGGGTTCTAACAGTCCTAATAAGTTGTTTGTCTTACACTCCCAAAGACATGCAGTATTTAACTCAATCTAGCTGGATTTGACAATATTTTTTAAGATTTCATATATGGATAACAGTAGTTGATTTTTACAAATAAACTAAAGTGATCATGCTAAGAAATCTTGGGATTCTAGAGAAGACCGGATTTATGATATTTTTCTTCTTATGTTCCGTCTGCACTATCTGTTTATGGAATTATAAACCTGTTTTCCATTCTATGGATACACTTTAGAATTGTTTTTGGATAAAATGTCTTTTTGAAGCTTATGGAGAAAGCGTTTCAGATATTAGTGACCACAGTATAATACATGTAAATATGAAGAATTTAAATACAGTATGTTCTCATAATGAAAAATTAGCTCTATCTGACAATTTGTCAATGAGGAAAAACATTTATTTATTCAAAGCTGACCTTACCTGGTGTATTGTAATGATTTTCTTTTTTTATTCAGAATAAATGTTCAAATACCAGGAAATTGTGTAACTCTCTAATGGAAGGCGTTTTCATGAAAACAATTACACTTATTACATATGCTCTTTTATTTTTGGCATGCAGATAACAAAATATAAGAATGCCCATAGCTAAAGTTATCATTGATCGTATCTTTTTTGCACCTATATGAATTTGCTCATTATCATATTCTAGTTGATCTCACGTACTTCGATTATGTAGGTAAACTAAAGGAGAATTCAGTAATGATTTTTTTTTTTTAAGTTTCATGCTAGGTATTCATAATAATATGTAGTGGCATTGTACCCAGACTGAGCACATCTTGAAACATGGTGTTAAACTTGTTCCTTTCAATGCAATGTCCAATTGTATAACAACCATCATGTAAAATCAGGCAGTATTAACAGTCCATAAAAGAAAATATATATATATATATATGTAATGGTATATTGTAAACATCCCCAAAAATATATGGAAAATTACAGCAATGTTCCAGTCCCTACATACTGCATAATAATTGCTGGAACTTCTGAACAGTCATAACCACCACCAGATAAATATCCAAAACTTTGGTCTTCTCATTCAGTCAGTCTTGCTTCAATTCATGCAGTGTTTTCCTTTCAATAATTGTCTAGTTATTTCATGGAAAATATGAACTGACAATTTTGTGCACAATTTACTGAAGTCATAAAGTAAAACTCTAAAGAATAACTATACCATAACTTATATACCATAACTTATATACCATAACTTATATACCATAACTTATATACCATAACTTATATACAAAGCTATACTTTTCTGTATGTCCTTTATGAGCAAAACATATAGATTTAATTAACTGAAGAGTGACCCTATGACCTCTCTGGGAACTGAAATGTAAAGACATTCCCACAGCTCAGTATGACTATAGTTTTTATTGCGATATGTATTTACAATTATATAAGCTAATTCTTCTCATTTGACACTGCAATTTGATGTTTCTGCCATCTAGCATTGCTTGTCTAGAGTCTGCAGCTCCAATACCCAATTCAGTCTCACTACTAATGTACAGATAAGTACAAACAAATGTGCCATTGCAAGTTAATATGTAAAAAAATTCTCAGATACAGTTGAATATAAGGCCCTTACATATATGAGGACCCATGAATAAAAAATAAAACTCACCACTAAAAGTGCATATCGTATGAGATCAATTATCATTCCATGTTTTCCAACTGTATACACATAACTATGAATATAGCAGACATTTTTCACACATCCAATTAATCTCAGCAGTTATAAAATTAACACAATGGTTTACATTCATAAGAGTATACTTAAAGGCTCCGTAAAAAGATTATAAAAGATTTGGTCTTTAATAAAATCATGGCAGTGTCCATGACATGATTTTCTTTAGAAAAATAAAAATAAAAAATTGCTAGGAAGTAACATTTTCTCTCATGTTTGCATACAATAGTTTCCAGCTCAGCTTAGCTGTCGGGGGATAAGAGGGGGAGAATGAATTCTCCTTGGGGCCACGGTGACCTCTAAGTGAAGGAGAGGAATAAAAGATAAGATGAATGAACCTGCCAATTGGACACTCCAAGGCAAACTGTATTTCATGATAAAGCACACCTGCATCTCTATCAGCTTATAGGTGGAAATGTGCTCGTTGGAAAAATTAAAGCCTTTTCATATGTGAAAGAAATGTCTGTTTTTTTTCTATGGCAGCAGTCCCATCTAAAGGGCTATCCAGAGGTCAGGATTTTTTGTGTGAGAAAATCCCGGATTCTCTCGGATTTCCCAGTAGGTTCCGTTGGTCAACCACACCTCCCGGCCTGCAGCATCTAGGGATTTCCTGAAGACACAAACCACATGCCATTTAATTCTGGGTAGCCCCTCACATATGCACCTCTCATAACATCAATGTAAGTGTGAAAAACATACACAAGTTTAACAAACAAAGGATTGACCAACTTGAAAAAGCGAGGTATATGCTCCTCTCCCTTCTTGGCGAGGATCTTCCGCTGCTCCCTCTGCTTCTCCTCTATCTTGTCCTTCAGCTTGTCTGCCTCATTTACCTTCCCTTCCTCTAGCAGCCTAAAAAGAAAAAGTGGGGAATTGTTTAGCTAATGGCAAAACAGAGACATGCTACAATAGATGCATCACCAGCTAACATTGTTACATAAATGCTTCACTTAAGTTGCTGTGCTGAAATATCTGTGCTAGATATGCAAGATGTCTACTTTAAAGATGTGTAAAAGCATATTGATCCAGACATTCAGACTACTCTGAGAGCAGCGGATCTTGAGGTTCTGTAGTTTGTGGACAGTGTTAGGGAAGTTACTCACAAAAGTAATCCATTACAGGCAGACGTGGAAAATTCAGGTCCGGAAAGTACAAATCTTTAACAAAGTTTTGTTTCAACCAGCCAGTTGAGTATAAAAAGTCACAGTCACAGAGTATTGAACTGGCAGGTTGAAACAAGACCTTGGTCAAAATACTCCATGTTCTGCTCTGAGCTATGCTACTCACCTCTGGTCAGGTCGCAGACGGGTGTCAGTTGGGGGGAGCCAAGGGTTTAAATCAGGGGTCAGCTCATTTAGCCTCATGGCAAAACTGGAGAACCCATAGTACAGGACGTGGTCTTTGGGTTGAGGGTCTGCAGGAAGTCATGAATACAGGTTACGGGTAAGATAGGAGTGCCTTGGTCAGCACCATGGGCAACCGTGAGTGTCTACAGAACGACGGTAATTTTAGATAAGCTTTGACTAAACTCTAACTGAGAAATAATGAAATATGTTATAACCACATTCTGCCTTTGATTAAGCTGAAATACAGTAGTGCGCAAAAGTCTTAAGCAGTCAAAGAAAATTTTAAAGATACTTATCTGGGTAGTAGGTATATACTGACTCAAATAAAGTACAATTTAACATTAGAATATTGCGAATGTGTGAAGTAACACATTAAAAAATAAGAATTTCTGTTCACCATAAAGTAACATATTTGTTGATTGCTGGATGGCTAGATGAGCACCATTTTGGTTCCAAAACCTCTCCGCAGGGGCACCTCAGCCATTCAATATATTAATTGATTGAGCTGGTGGTAAAATTTAATCATCTTAAATAATCTGGTGAGGGTTTTGGTTAGGAGAAGTGGTTGAGACAGAGTGGTCGAGAGATCCATGGGTATGTTGGATAGTTGCTGCAAGTATCTGGGTGACTTTAGGAGACGTCCTGTACTAGATAAGCTAAAAAAACTTTGACAGACATAAGATCATAGTTTTACACAAAAAAGCTCATTCTAAAATCATTGAGACACAATTAAATAAATTCTTTGACTGCCTAAAACCTTTGCATAGTGATGTATGTTTACATTATTAAAAAGAAGGTTTATGCTGAGGTACGTACACACATGGTCCTTTATAATAAAAACAAGTGTCTTTGTAAACATTCTCCTTAAAGTTGGTTGGTACTCACTTGGCTTCCAAATGAACTGAGGGGTAGGCAGAGTGTCACAGTAGATACCCTCATGCCAGTACCCTCCAAAACGGTGGACAACAGTGCCAGACTGATCGAGAACCACACCCTGCACCTCATTCATATTTGTATCTGATCCCCAGTAACGGGCCTGCAGGGACAGGAAGAGTACAAGACATTGTGGTCGTCAGTCATGTTGTTCTTGCCCACCGCATTAATGTTTCCATATTGAGATTTCCAAAACAACTGTGGACACATGTTATAAACTAACAACACATCTGAGTAATTTGCTTTAACACACAATACATGGTTTATATTCACCGACAGCTTAAGGTAGCAATTTTCAAATCAAAGGATTTTTGGTTTTCAGCGCCACTAGTTCTATCTTAACCATTACCACACCATTATTAATTACTGAGACATTTTGGGCCTGCCAGGGATTACCTTGACAAAAGTAATCTTGCAGGTGCAGACGTCGCTCTTGAGGTTGCGGAGAGTCACTTCACCATAATGCTCCAAGAACCGCTGCTGACTCAAGACTTTGTGGATGCAGGTGACCACCTTGTTCCACTCATAGTGATCACCAAACCTGCAGGAAGGCCCATGGCAGTCAGATATACCTTCGTCCAATCACATCACCTATGAGACTGTGGGCATTTGGCCAAAGACATGGTACTGACCTTGGAAGAGTGACGTTCACCATTCCTGCTGGCATGATCTCCAGGGATTTGCCCCAGAACTTGTTTTTCCACCGTTGGTCTGTTATAAAGCACCAAATGATGCATTAAATGTCATTGATCTACAAATATCTTTACTGCAAATGAAAACTCAGATTTATAACATTGTTTAACATAACTTAAGAATTGTGCAAATGTAAACGCAACCACATATGTAGATGTACACGCACAATGGTGACAGTATACTTCAGGTTTACCTTGCCAGAAGGAGAAGTTCTTAGATTCAGCATGGCAGGCAGAGACAGGTGGGTGGTGGGAGACCTACAGGCAAGAGAAACGTTACAGAAAACTGAAACCCATTTCACCGCCTCTAAATTACCGAAATAACCATGACTGGGGGCTGTTTAGCTGTTTCAACCAACTAAATCAGTGTTTCCCAATCCGGTCTTCAGGGACCACCAGACCGTCCATGTTTCTACTCGCTCTGAGCTCCTTGCCAGATAATCCACAACTATCTATCAGCAAAAACGTGGACTGTCTGTGGGCCCTGAGGACTGGACTGGGAAACACTGAACTAAGTGCTGATAATTGATTAGCTTCCATTGACCAAAAGCCATGGCTTATAGCACCACTACAGCAGTGTTACACATTTAATGTAAAATGTGAAAATGTGAGCAGACTGTAGCACATCTGCCTTTGTTATCTTGCATACCTCGCAATTGACAGAAGTACATTTCCAAAGCTATCATTTCTGCATCAACTCTAAAGCATCTGCTTCCTGAGCCATTGTCTCCTGTACTGCAGTTCTGTGTTGAGCATCCTACTGACATAACAGTGATAATGTCTGACACAGGGGGCATGGATGTTTTGGGGGGGGGGGGTCAAAC